CTCCCAAAGGCATGGGATTACAGGCTGAGCCACTGAGCCCGGCTGATTTTTTTCTTTTTACGTTATTTTTTGTCTAAGATAACTTATTATAATCTATATCTTACTGGACTTCTTCTTCTTCCCAGAGAGGATGAACCTTTAAATTGTCTCTTAGAGCACTCAGACCTCATACATGGATAAAGCTTGACAGTGTCTAGTTCACTCCGTGACTTTCACACTTATTTTTTTTCTTTATTTTAATATAAAGATGTAAGGTACAAGTCAGGGTTAGGTACATTAGTATTCTACGTGAAGATGAAGCTTGGGCATCCAACTGGTCCTCACTTCACCTGGTTTAGGACTAGGTGCCATCAGTGATATCATGTGGCCTCCCTCCTCCCCTGACAGTGTCCTGCTACTGCCAATCCGTCTCTTGTAGAATTGTGATGAATGTTCGGACCTACTTGTAAGGGAGAACACTAGTATTCAGTTTTTTGTTTCTGTGCTAGATCACTGAGTATCTAAATCCATCCAAGTTGCTGCAAAGTCTATAATTTTGTCCTTCTTTATGGCTGTGTAATATTCCATCATGTATATATACCACATTTTCTTTATCCAGTCCACTTTCAATGGGCAGCAGGGTTGGTTCCATGTTTTTGCTATTGTGAATTATGCTGCAATAAACATGTGTGCAAGTATCTTTTTTTGTAGAATGATTTGAGTTCCTCTGGGTATATTCCCAGGAGGGGGATTGCTGGGTTGTATGGAAAGTCAATTTCTAGTTCTTTTAAAAATTGCCACACTGTTTTCCATAGAGGTTGAACTAGTCTGTACTTCCACCAACAGTACTTTCACACTTATTTTAGAAGCAGTGGTAAAAAGTGATAGGTGGAAAAATATGTTGAAGGAAGTACTGGCTTAAAGTAAAAAAACCAGGTTCCATTTTTACCTGCTACTCACCCCAAGGTCAGGCAGGGTCTTATCCCGTCTTTCCTAGCTAGACAATCTTTCCCTCTCAGCTTGTGTGTGTGTGTGTGTGTGTGTGTGTGTGTGTGTGTGTGTGTGTGTGTGTTTTCTTTCCCTGTAGCTTTCACTTACTTTTCAACTGAATTCAGTTCATTCCATTCCAATTTAGTCAATGGCCCCAGAGCATCTGACAGTATACTGGTAAACTAGCTCTCAAAAAAAAAATGTAGCTTTTGTCAATTTCCTTGGTATAAATACTCCCATCATGGTCAATTTCAAGCTACCCACCTGATTTTCAATGAATGCAAAATTGAGATATACAGAAGTGGCTCTTGCTGGCTAGTCTTAGCTGGCACTGCACACCACTGATTTTATACACACACACACACATGCACACACACAATTTTCCTATGTACTAGAATTATTTTTTTAAAAGAAGGTTCTGACTGATACATAATGAGCATGTACAGTGTGTTAAAGGCATTTCAAGCATTGCTTCCTTTAATCCTCACCATAACCTCTTGAGGTGAATAATTTTATAATACTCCTTCCACAGGTAAGTATTTTAGGTAGTGTGATCAACAATTGGCACTATACTGTATTTCCTCCCTAGAGTGTTGCCAACTTTACAAGACCAAGACTCTGCATGTAAACAACTTGCAATTAGGTAGACTGCATGCCTGTCTCCTTACCCCTTTAGGTGCTCTGGATTCTGTAAGGAAAGAAATCTCTTTTTTTTTTTTTTTGAGAGTTGGTGTCTTACCCAGCCACTGCAGCCTCGACCTGCTGGGCTCCGGCAATCCTTCCGCCTCAGCCTTTCAAGCAGCCGGAACTACAGGCGTGTACTACCGCGCCCGGCTAATGTTTGATTTATTGTAGAGATGAGGTCTCGCCAAGTTGCCTGGGTGGGTCTCGAACCCGCGGGTTCAGGCAATCCACTCACCTCAGCCTCCCAAAGAGCTGGGATTACAGGCTGAGCCACCGAGCCCGGCTGAAATCTTCTCTTTCTAGCTTTGCTTATATCATCTCCTGAGGCTGCAAGTCCCTGCCAATCATGTCCTCTCCATTCCCCTTTCTCCATCTGTTCACACTTATCTTCCTTATGCTTTACTTCCTCCATGAAGTTTCCCTGATATGCTTAATCAGGTGCAACCCTGCCTCTTCCTGAACCCTCCCAGCACATTATTTGGATTTCTCTTATGCATTTTAGCTCACTGGTTCTTATCTAGACCCACTGAATGAGCATTCCAGTGGATCAAGTCTAGGCATTTGTAGTTTTTAAAAGCTCTATGGGTGATTCTGATGGGCGCCTAGGCTCTAGGACTAGGCTTTGCCTCATTCACTGTTGCTCAAATGGTGCCCCATCTGTTTGTCCTTCCAAACCAGGGAATTTTAGTGATATAAATCTGGTTTTCTTTGAGCTTCATCCTGTTCTTTTATTCATTACTTCATCATGTATTTGTTTAGCTGATACTATATGTCAGATGCTGAATGGTCTTGGTATCCAGAGGAGAGAAAAACGTAGAGCCCTTGTAGAGACAAAAATCTAGTGGAGAAGACCTTCATCAAATTCTCACAGAACTATGTTTAACTGGGAGTTTCCATCCACTTGGAATTTCAGTCGAGGACACGAAGGAGAGAATAATGGTAAATCAGTGCCCAGACATCCACTTAGAACTTGCTAAAAGCCAGCTGGATCTAACACTGACTGATCATCATCCATTTTCTGTCTACATAAGAGAAAACTGGAAATCCAGAAAGGATTAGTACTTGAATAAAGTCATCAAGGTAGAGAGTTGCTAGCTGGTAAGGGAGTGCCGAAGTGTTTCCCTTTCTTCTTTCTATGATGGAAGGAAGAGAACAGTGTCCTGCTTTTCTAGTCAAGTGACAGGGACCCAAGATAATCACTGAAAAGACTAGGGTTTTGCAAGAAGAGAACGATTTATCTTTCTCTCTAGTTGGATGTTAACTGAGCTGTGAAACTGAGAGCCCTGCAGCTATTGTGGTACCAGAGAAATGTGGTAAAGAAGTTGTGGGGGAAATTGACCCACCCATGGAGTGTGACGTCCTTTGGAATCACACACACTGTTAGCTGTTGAAGAGGCAAGAACATGAGTTTTCCAAGAGGCTGATTGTACTAAAGAAGGCAGCTGGGACTGGACCATCTAGATGGGACCTTTTCATCCTCCTAGGATGAGGAAGCCACTAAGAAGCCATTGGGTATACACCACTGAGTACAGAAGCTGAGGTTGGTGTGGGAGCAAAGCGAGCTATCAACTAAGGAGTGTATCACCCATGTCAGGGCACTGTGTAGCATGGAGGTCCCACAGGGAGCTTCTGGGGATCCCATGAACATGTTCACCCT